CACACATAGGCCGACTCGCTGGACTGCGTCCTGTCCAGGGTGACTGTCACAGGTAGGACCAGGCCTAGGCCTGTCCCTCACACACAGGCTGACTCGCTGGACTGAGTTTAGGCCAGGCCTGTCACACGTAGGCCGACTTGCTGGACTGAGTCCTGCCCAGGGCTGTCACAGGTAGGACCAGGCCTAGGCCAGGCCTGTCACACGTAGGCCGACTCGCTGGACTGCGTCCTGCCCAGGGCTGTCACAGGTAGGACCAGGCCTAGGCCTGTCCCTCACATATAGGCCGACTTGCTGGACTGAGTTTAGGCCAGGCCTGTCACACGTAGGCCGACTCGCTGGACTGTGTCCTGCCCAGGGCTGTCACAGGTAGGACCAGGCCTAGGCCAGGCCTGTCACACGTAGGCCGACTCGCTGGACTGTGTCCTGCCCAGGTCTATCACACACAGGACCAGGTTTAGGCCAGGCCTGTCCATCACACATAGGCCGACTCGCTGGACTGCGTCCTGCCCAGGGTGGGCGCGGCGGGGGCGGGCGTGGCGGGCGCGGCCCCGGGCGGGTCCTTGCGCCGGGCCGAGGCCTCCCCCAGGGATTTCCGGCGGGCGCGGGCCCCGCGCACGGCCGCCCGCACCTTGCGCCAGCCCAGGTGGTTGAGCTCGGCCAGGTTGAGCAGGACGCAGACGCCGGACACGGCGAACATGAAGACGAGGAACACGGTCTTCTCGGTGGGGCGCGACACGTAGCACTCCACCTCCTTGACGCAGGGGTAGCGCCCGCACTCGAAGATGGCGGGCACGTTGAAGCCGTAGAGGAAGTACTGCCCGCCCAGGAAGCCGATCTCCAGCGCGTTGCGGAAAACCACCTGGATCACGTAGAAGCGCGAGATGCCCTCCTGGCGCTTGGCCTTGGCGCTGCGCCCCGGGCGAGGCCCCGGCGCTCCCGTGGCGGCCGGCGCCGCGTCCTTGGCGTCGGGCGGCCCGTCCGGCTCGTCCTTGGCGGGCGCCCCCGGCCCCCCCTTGGCCCTCTTGGCGTCGTAGAGGAAGGAGCAGCGGCGCTCGCGCTGCTTGGCCGCCTGGTGCACGGAGTAGGTGATGAAGCAGAGGCTGGGCGTGCACACCAGGATGATCTGGAAGACCCAGTAGCGGATGTGGGAGATGGGGAAGGCCTTGTCGTAGCAGGCCTGGTTGCAGCCGGGCTGGAGGGTGTTGCACATGAACATGGTCTGCTCGTCCTCGTAAACCGTCTCGCCCACGATGGCCACGATGAGGATGCGGAAGATCACGACGACCGTCAGCAGGATCCTGCCGGGACGAGGGGGGGGGGGGG